ACAGCCATTTCTTGGGCCTTGGCCGCTTTTTCAGTATCTTGATCTTTTACACAGTCAATAGCCCGTCGCAAGGCCGCTGCCTTGACAAAGGACAGCACAATCACAGAATGAACGCACAGAGACATGCCTCACGTGGGATTCGAACCCACGATCCCAGCGTTTGAGCGGGCGGAGACGGTTCATGCCTCAGACCGCGCGGCCACTGTGATCGGCAGGAAACTGTGTTTTCCGAAACTTCCAAAGGTGAAGTAAGTACAAGCTGGCAGAACATGGGGAAATTTGTCGTATCCAGCGGTGGACTCCTGTTACAATGACGATGAACATTCGGGTTTCATAAGAAGGGAACTAACGTCCGGACGCCGCTTCGGCTTGGTTAACAGTACTTTTTCATATTCGAAAAGTCCTGGCTTTGAATCTCGGCCCAGAGACCGTTCACCCTGACGGAGGCTTGTCGTGGTTTTTCTTAGTTCTTCTAGGCAAATTATGGTATTGTGACATGATGCCTGAAAGCCAGAGTAGACGTTCATTGCTAGGCAACAACTCGGTAAACAGCTGCAACGAATAAGTAAACAGCAGTCGAAATATTGTTGGGCTGTAACGTTGGAAACGGTGTTTTCTGTTGGGTCCACTCCGAGGCTCTATATCGAGGATCCCAGGTCAGCTGAGATAGAATTGGCGAAGTCTCTTGAGACGGCAGTCGCTTGACTGAGAAGAGATAGCAACGGTTTCAGTTGAGATTTGTAAGTCATCCTATAAGAAGAAGACTTTATGTGTGATAAGTAAAAGTTTAAAAAAAGGTAAAGGCCAAGGAGGCCCATAGGGTTATGTAACGTCGAGGCTCCCACATTTTCTAGACAGTCGGCTCAAAGATGGCGGTAAGGTTGTCAGCCTTACGCGCCGGCCGTCCTTTACTCTGCAGGAAGATTCCTGGTACTCATTTCTGTTAGAGGCTGAGTCGACCCCAGGACCATAGTGCGGTTGGAAGGATTATATCAATTGAAAAGAAATCCACCTCATCGGGACTCGAACCCACGACCTTCCGGCTTGTTACATAGTGTCTCAACCAACTACTCTACCATGTGACCCCACATGTAATAGGTACTGTGATAAATCCTTTGCCAGAATACGACTAGTGAAGACTGATAACCTAGTGTGTGTGATAGTGAAGTGTGAAGTGTGAAGATTAACGATAGCGCTATAATTAATTGCAGTTACTAGTTGTGAGTGGATAAGTGCAATAAATCCAATCCAAATCCCGTCTGTATTTACATCCATATACTGAGGATATCATGCCTTAAATAAGGCCAAGACGGCTTCCATCTACATCCTTAATCTTTTTTTCATTTTCCTCATCCTACCATACGACATAATCGAGTCCACTGAAGAATTGTCACTGCTTAACCGAAGAATAAGTCAGCCGAAACAGAGAATTTATACATAGATGTGTTCCATGCCCATCTTCTCTCAGCGAACGTTTTGTACCGTGAAATTAGTTGGTTAGGAAGTCAGGTAGTTAGTCTGTTAAGCCTGACAGTTGTTTAATTAGTCATATGCGCTCCCCTCCATTATTATGCATACTAATGTGTGCAGGGGTACGCAGAACATACGAGTATGTATAGCAGTCACGGTCAACCTGGCAGGTGTGGCGGCTAGCTGCCCCCCGTAGCGGGACGAGGTGCCCTTTGTAGTCCCGCGGCGGGCAGGTGGTGATCGTAACAGCTGAAGGGCGTAACTGCAGTCATTAGGACCACATCGCTGCCCACAGGGCTCCGGTGCGATTCTTGAAGGATACCTTCTTCTGATTGCAGAGATTGAATATATGTTATTTCTTCACTGGCTCTACAGCCCCTTGGGCTCTGGCCTCTGATTTTTCAGTTTCATGGTCACTTTACAGACATTTGGTTTGTATTCATTGTGGTAGGATGTCCATATTGTTGTGTTTTGTGTATTGTTTTTTGTTTGAACGTGTTGTCACTTAGTGTAATGTGTGTTACTTGTCTGTTGTGTCCTATTGTGTACTACTGCCACCGGGCTAAAACCCAATTGTAGCATAATAAATAATATATATTAGGACTCCTTGGACGAGTGATCAGCTTGTCGCAAAGCCTCTACCTAAACCCGTGTTCACTTCGGCCTTCCGGGTGTCACTCCCTGTGGAAATGCTAACATTTAATTCCGTTTTGGATAATTGCTTCCACCTGTAGATTAGAACAGTGCAAAGATGGTGTCAGGTGGCTATATTGACTGCCGATCACAGTGTCCGAGTGGTCTAAGGCATGAACTGTGGGTTGGACTCCTTTAACCGGCGAGGAGTCAGTCCATCACAAGGCCGCTACCTACGCAGGACAACACAAACACAGAAGAAATGCAGACAGACTTCCATGCGTCGAGTGGGGTTCGAACCCACTATCCTAGTTTCTGAGCAGGCGAAGCTATTTCCTGCCTTAGACCACGCTGTCACTATGATCGGCTCCCTAAAATAAAACGTATATTCCTCGGGCGTCTGTAAGGCAAATGTGTAAGGGCTAATTGCCGAGATGAAGCACCCTGATATTCTCTCGTCCAGATTCAAGACGCGGTTCGCCTGCGGGGACGCTGTATCGTGGATATCAGTCTATGGTCAGCAACATTTGTAAGCAAATTTGCTACTATGTAAGTTTTGAGGTTTTCACGGCGATGACAATGAAGAAAGNGCTACTGATTGACTAATTAAGACTGCAGAGTCTTATGATGTAAAGGCAATGGTGTTTCTGAACTTAATTAATTAAGCATTATACCATGAAGACGTGTGGGGGAGTGGAGGTATATCTCCACATTTCTTAGCCTCAGGACTAGATGGAGGTGATTGGTGAGCTTCACGCCTATGCCGCTTTACCACCGGGGAAAGACTCCCTGGTATCCATTGAGGAGGTTGTGTGGGCCCCACTGCTCGCAGTGGATAAGAGAAAAATCTTGCCTCTGCCAGGCATCGAACCCACGGCCGTCCAGCCCAAAGCCCGTGGCTATACCGACTCAGCTAATAGGCAAGGAATTGCCAGTACCAAATTTAAAAGCGAAACAAATTACGGGGATGCAGATATTCTTGTTTCCTTCTTAAGGTTAATGAAGAGGTCTGTTTCCTACCAACGTTACAGTTTATATTTTCTGTCTTTTCTTAAACGGAGCAGCGTCATGTCCCTTTCTCAAATTACAACGGTCCCACTACAGCGGATTGCGTGTCGCCAGGGGCTGAGGTTTGCAACTGGCCGTCTGAATTTCTCAAATCTTGCTAGAAAACTACTGCTAACTTTCAAACTGGACTCGAGCCAAAGGGTCTCTCATCTTATGTATATTTTTGGGCATTACTAGGTGAACTAGTAGAACAAGTTACTATGGGACAGGTTAGATAGGATGCAGCATGTAGCGTCAAGCTGCAATATGGTAGCGTACCCTGTTTTTGGGTCAAGGAGGTAAGAAAGGAAAGTGTTAGAATAGGTTAAGAAATATCAGGTGAGTCGTGTAGGATCAGACGGTTTAGATTAGGATAGGTATGGGTATGGGACTGTAGGACATAGGGCCAATTCGGCCAGAGAGTGCGAATGGATAATATAAGATAAATGACAAAATGGGAGAGAGGAGGAATGCACATAGGATATTGGTGGGAAAGCCGGAAGGAAGGAGACCACTGGGAAGACCAAGGCGTAGGTGGGCAGATAATATTAAAATTGATCTTAGAGAGATAGGATGGGGTGGTGTTGACTGGATTGATCTGGCTCAGAATAGGGATTAGTGGAGGGCTCATGTGAACACGGTAATGAACCTTCGGGTTCCATAAAATGCTCGGAAGTTCTTGAGTAGCTGCAGAATTGGCGGCTCCTCAAGAAGGGCTCAGCTCCATGAGTGAATAAGTTAAATGACAAATTTGGGTAGATGATGGTAGGAAATTGAGAATAGGATTCTGTATGAAAATATACACTACAATATGAGGTGGGGTGGCTAGGGTGAAGCAAAATAGGGTGGATAGTATAATGTAGGGTGAGTAAAGTACATTCCTCCGTACACTGATCTCGGGGCGTGAAGCTGACCCCTCACCTACAGCTAGTCCCGAGGACCACTCTACTACACGCCTTCATGGCATAGTGCTTAATTAGTTGAGCACAGGACAACTTCACCTTTTACTGATCTGTACCCAATGGAACGTACGCTATTATAACCCCCCCCCAAACCCGTCGCTATGCCATCCTATAATTTATTTTATCCCACAGTCTGTGACTTTATATTACCCTATTATATAGCAATTTATCTATCGCGTACTCCCTGTCCTATAGTATTCAGTCATATGAAACACTACGCTATTCTGCAGTGCCCTTCAACTTTCTGTGCATGTCGATACCGTTCGAGTCCATATTAACTTATCCTAACCTATGTCACTATATACACTCTCCCTCTTCACGTTATCCTAAATTATCGTGGATAGTGTTTGGTATCACGAAGCAGGAGAATGGGATGGTTCAGGGAGCAAATTGTTATCGTAGGAATTGATAGGACTACGATTAGAGTAGGGGCCACTCAGTAGCGTAGGTGGTTGAGGTACTATGCTACAAGCCGGAAGGTCGTGGGTTCGATTTCCTGTGAGGTCACTGGATTTTTCAATTGACCTAATCCTTCCAGTCTCGCTATGGCCCTGGGGTCAACCCTGCCTCTAACAGAAATGAGTACCAGGAATCTTCCTGGAGGGTAAAGGACGGCCGGCGCGTAAGGCTGACAACCTTACCGCCATGTGTGAGCCGATTATCTAGAAAATGTGGGAGCCTCGATGTCTCACAACCTTATGGGACTTGGGATAGATTTACCTTCCTTACCTTCCTATTAGGATAGGGTGGGAAATTAAGTTGTAGGATAGAGTGCAACAGTACAGGATAACGCAGTGTAGGTTGGGGTAAGATATTGTAGTGCGTGAGAGAATGTGGCAGAATAGGGTAAGGCAGGGTTAATTTGATCAATCCTGCCTTTCTTCTCAGGTATCCGGAGTCTCGGCTGGCGAAGCTCTTCAACGGGAGCATCCCCATCGTGCTGGACTCCCTGAAGCAGCACTACTTTATCGACAGAGACGGAGGCATGTTCCGACACATCCTCAACTTCATGCGCAATTCCAGGCTCCTCATACCCGAGAACTTCGCCGACCTGGACCTGCTGCTGGAGGAGGCGCGCTACTTCGACATAGCCCGTGAGTGAGAGAGAGAAACACTTACTTGCATGAATCAGAAATATTCTTTGATGTGTGTTTTTGTTAACGAACTAAAAGTCTGTGGTTCTGTGCGGTGTGGAATCTGTAGGACGCATGTCAACAAATGAATAGAGACAAGAACATCTCAAAGGCCACGTCTGGAAGACTGTCATTGTTGTTCTCTAGAATCTTACTCCTATAGAGGCTATTTCAGAATCATAGACAGGTTTTACCAATTTTGTTAAACAAGCAAAAAATGTGGATTTTGCCAAACATTAGATCTTTATGGATGTATGTGTGAGTCCCTCAGTTTGATACAAATTTAAGGGCCCACACTTCTTATAAATAGCCGTGACTAGCAAAGTGTTGCGCGTAGGAAACCAATTGACTTCCCGTACGCGGTGGCTTAAATGCAGAAGTAATTGTTTATAACCAATAGGCGGGACCCCCCATTAGACAGCAAAGACCTTCATAGCATATTCCCCAAGACAAATCATGTTTCTAATATGCTGCATATGTTAAGGACGTTCCACCAACTGATGAAGTTATATAGCTTCCAATGACGTGAAAGAAAATGGGTGACCTAGTTTTCGTTATTCTCTTGGAAGGGCGGGGAAAACAACGCAAAACATTGGCGAGGGTTGCAGTTTCCGACCCGAATTCAATACGAGTATCTCGTAAATGGAAGACTCCTTTCGTCTGTGTTAGGCGGTATATGTTTAAACTGTAACAAGATTTGATTTGAATTTGGGTATAGTACAGAAATCGAACCTCAGGGTGTTTGGATAGTGCAACCTGAGAGTACCCTATTCGAATCCTGACCGGGAGATAGACTGCATTGACATATTTGTGATTTCTCTAATCTTGTCTGGGGATAGCTCAGGCAGAAAATGGACCAGATATGGAGCGGAGAACCGAGGTTCCATTCGCGGCAGGGAGAGGCTACTTTTCTGCGACACCGCTGTTCAGACCGGCTTTAGGCCCCACATTTCCACCTATATACCTATGTAGTATGAAGTCCAGCCGGAGGCTCCTCCCCGAGGGTAAATTGGCCAGAGTGTCAGCAGGTCTGTCACCCTCGTTTGCTTCTCAAGTAGGAAATATGCACAGATTCACGTGCGTTCCTCCTGTATGCTCGCCTGCTCACACAGTGAGCCTTCATCTGTAGACGAGCGCCGGAAATTCCCTTGAAGTAGCTCACGTTCATTACAATATTTAAATTTCTTACTCCTAGCAGGTGATATAAATAAACTCCCACCTGAGAGTGGCAGTAACTGATATAATTTATTTCCACCTTGTCTTCTCTCATTACCATAGTAGACTATGATGAATCAAAAGTTCTTTAATATTTTATATTATATTTCTATCACCCCACCAGCCCTTCTTTGGATTTTACAATTGACCTAATCCTTCCAGCCGCACTATGGCCCTGGGTCGACTCAGCCTCCAACAGAAATGAGTACCAGGAATTTTCCTGGGGGTAAAGCGCGGCCGCCGCGTAAGACTGACAACCTCATCGCCATCTGTGAGCCGATTGTCCAGAAAATGTGGGACCCTCAACGTCACACAGCTCTTTTGGCGTCGAAGGCCTGTTACCGGGATACCTTTACCTTTTTTTATTACCCCACGACTCCCCCACAGAAAACGACTGCAGAATCACTTACATGATATCTGAAACATATTTTTTTCCCCCTTATGGAAGAGAAATTATTAAAGTTTGGACCGACTCCTTAGTCATATTATTCGGGGAATTGCCCGGATAAGCAAGACATGTCTCCAGCGTTATAACTTCTTCCTCTTGGTTACAGCGTCTGTCGTGACCGTCGTGACATTTCATGATCTGTTGACTGCTTACAAAATTAATTGTATATAAATAGGAGAAATAGGGTCTCTAAAGGGCGCAGTAGAAACGTTAGGCAGATTACGAGAACTTTCCATAAGCCCGTAGATCTGCACAGCTTCCAAGATTTAAATTATAGCCTTCTGGATCGTGGAGGGGGTAAGGAGTCCGTATTCTGTTCGCTTGTTTCTTGAAGATGGACGCAAGGTTTTCTTCCGCAGTTTTGGTAACCACCCAGCAGACGACGTTGGATCACATGTTACGAATATGTTCGGGCTCACGTCTCTTCTTCAGGCCCCACGACTGGACTGAGAAGATGTGCGCAGGGCAAAAGCCTTCTAGCCTCTGCGCATAGACTGGGAAATGGGAATCCCCCCAAAAAATCTTTTTGCTGCATTTCGTGACGTAAATGCACGTGGACGAAAGTTTAGTTTTCCTCAAGCGATGACTGTTCTTGCCTTGCCTTGCAATTCTCTTGCTTTTATTGATGCTGCAAGTGTTTCAAGACCAGCTGTTATGTAAAAATTTACATTTGATTGTTTCGAAATGTTCACCTTCCTCCCGTTCCGGTAACAGTGGAAATAAGTATATTTTTTTAATGTTAGGATACAGCTACAGTGGCGCCGCCATCAAACTCTCTGAAATGACTGTTAGCGACTACATTCTTCACACTTCTTTACTGAATTTAAACACAGCTTCTCCCAGGGCTATGTTGTTTACTTGCATGAGATGTTGGATGTTATGTCGTTAGTACTTACAGGCCTGTAAAACTGGCGTCTCGGTATTACTGCATTCAGAAACTTCGGTCGCTTATTCTGAAAAATCAAGGAACGAGCTCGCTTTATTCGATGAACTAAGAAGTCAGGAAATGTAAGCATAGTTTTGTTTTTTCTCTCTCTCTCTCTTCTCTTGCTCCCACTTTGGAGTGCAGGGCTGATTTCTGAGTTTCATGATCGTTTTACACAAGGTAGGACTCCTTCGACGGGTGATCAGCTCGTCGCAAGACCTCTACCTAAACACAGGACAACACAAACACAGAATAAACGCACACACACCAAACATCCATGCATTGTGTGGGATTCGAACCCACGATCTCGGTTTTCGAGCGAGCGAAGACAGTACATGCCTCAGACTGCTCAGCTAGCTTGACGGACAATACTACTACTACTACTACTACTACTACTACTACTACTACTACTACTACTACTACTA